ATTTGTGACAAACACCTGTATACAATTTTATCTGACTGACTGGACTACCTTTAAGTGAGGTGACATTTATTGAGAATTTATTGTGTGGTAGGCACAGGTAGCTGCTACATGGATTACATAATTTAATCTTTATACGAATCCTACAAGTTGGGCAATAATCGGTTTTCCCATTTTAAAGATGAAAAAAACCTGAGGTTCAATTCTGGTATGTAATTTGACTAGGGTCACACAACTAAGTCACACAACCTGATGTTAAATCAAATTAATTTGGCTCCATAGTTTGTGTTCTTAAGATATGTTATTTATGCTTCCTCTACTAGTAATGCTTATTTATTCATTTAATTAGGAAGAATTTGTTCCGTTTCTCCTTGATAAACACACCTGGCCCTGTCCTAGGCATGGGGATTCAGTAGAGCAAAACACATCCATGCCCTCATGAGTTTACATTATAGTAGGGGAGATAGATAAGTAAGTAAACTATATAGATTAGAAGAGAAATGACACAGAGAAAAATAAAGTGTATGTGTGTGATGCAATATAACAACCACAAGGTGACATTTAAGTAAAATCTTGCAAACAGAAGGAGCATGTCCTAGAGCAATCAGGAGGAATGGTCAGGCTGACAGAGCAGGGGTTGTCACGGTTCTCAGGTGGGTGCCTGCCTGGTGAGCTCGGGAGAAAGCAGTGAGGCCGTGTGGCTCCAGCAGGCTGAACTAGGAGGCGAACTGCAGGCGCTGAAGTGAGACAGATGATGCCCTTGTTTGGGCGTGTCCTACATGGGTCACTGCAAGAATTTTAGCTTTTATTCGTAGAACAAGAAAGCCAGGGGAGACTTTTGAGGGGAGTTATATCTGGCATAGTTTTTAAAGATCATTATGTTCTGTGGAGAGCAGTTGGGAGGCAACTGCAGTAATTCTGGGTGGTAAGTTCTGGGCCAAGGAGGTATAGTAGACAAGTTCTGTGTCTCTGAATATATTTTTAAGATAGAGCTGACAGTGTATGATTTGGATGGGGTATATGAAAAAGAGAAGAATCAAAGGCAACTCCATTATTTCTGAGCTAAAGGATGGAGTTGACCGTAACAGAGATGGGGGAGCCACTTTAGGTGTAGCTGACTTGGAAGATTAGGGGTTCAGCTTTGGTCAGGTAAATTTGAGATCTTATGAGACTTCCAAGTGGAGATTACTTAAAAAATTCAGAGGGCTCTTAGGCATAATATCATTTGATCTTTTAACCTTTAACTTCAATATTTGCTAGCTCTTCCAAAAAGCATTTCCACCTCAGAAAAATAATTGAGAACAGTTCTAAGACAAATTGTTATTCATATGTAAATGGTATGGAATTTCTTCTGCCTTCTCTAGTTGATGAAGTTTGAGCACTTACTGAGAGACACATCAGAGTTTAGCTTATAGATTCTAGAGCCAGTTTTCAATCCTTTTGCTTATTGACTATGTGACTTTGGCTTTATTCAGCTTTCTCTACCTCACTTCTATCACCTATGTGATGATGAAAATAATGTCTACCTAGAAGGTATTCGTTTGTATTGGTGGTGTATTTACAAAGTGCCTAATACGTAGTGTTAAATATGTGATACAAATTCTTTCAAATAATTTGCTAAGAGCCTGGGCTGTACTTAACTTGCCTTTAATATACTCAAAGCTCTGACCCAGCTATACCACCTCCTTATAAAAGGTTATGTGCTTCACAAAAAGCCATGGATCTGGAAAAATGCAACTTTCCCCGAAAGGAATCTTACGACCCCATTCTGTAAAAGCTTTTAGAATTCTTGAGGTAGATCTTCATGGAAATGACTTATTGGTTCTATCTGTAGCAGTACCTAGGCATTCTTAAAATTTGGGTCTTATAAAAGCCATTTTAAGATAATTAAAAATGGCTAAGCCCATTCTGTGGATTTAGGGTTCAGTCTCTGACTGCTTACATTGTTATTTTAAGTAAGTGCATATAAATTGCTTTCCAAAGAGGCTTTACCCTCTTTCCGTATGTTCTGCAAATAGTCTGTGAAAATTGTTTATTACGGGGAGTGGTTTCTTTTTCTTTGGTGCTGCATCTCTATTTCCTCTACTGGTCAGCTGCTTCAGGATCCTACCTTTGGCAATGATGAAAGGAGACCTTAAGATTCTTTCACCAGGATGAGTAATTTCCACAGTGATTCCATGCTGCAAATAGACACCGACACCCTTAGTCTCCATGGGTTGCTTGGGACCGACCTTACAGCTCGTCTTGAAGTATGGGGACTGTGACATCGGCCTGTCCAATGAGGACTTTTCTTGGGACTTTTGCTAGACCCACCGGGGAAGAAGAGCTCTCATTAGGATTTCCAGCTTTAGGGATTCTGATGGTCATCTCTGCTGTCACATTAAGCAAGCTTGTTGAGACAGAAGACAGGAAGGAAAGCAGACGTAAGGGACAGAGAAAAATAGATTTTCAATTACATTTTTAACCCCTTCATTCATTTATGAAGCTTAATGTCTTGGTTATGTGATCCAATGACCCTCTCACCTTTTAAAATACTGCTTTCGCTCAATAAATGATTTGAATCTTAAATTACTGATTTATCTGTGGCATATTCTTCTATGTAAAGCTAAGTACTTCTCTGAGTGTGGTAGCTGAGGTTACACTATTTACACATTTTAATGCCTAAATATTCCATGATACTGTTGTGTGCCACATATACATACACTTATGGAATAGAAAACAAGAAATGAATTAATATCTAAGACTCATAATATGTCCTATTGTCAGTGGCCATAAATGATTTTTGTGATAATCTGAAAATGACAATTGGCAGTTTCATAACAGGGATTGTCAAAAAAGCAAGCGAATAAATGATTTCATGTCCAGCAAGATGGGTCTTCTCTGGCAAATGCCTTCATACTAGAAACACCGTGTTCATTATAGGTTTATAGTCCCTTTCACTGAAACCCAAGGGGCAAGAGAGATTTTTCATGCCAGAATTCTTCAGTGCTTCTAAGCTTGCTTGTTCTGGTCTGGCTATCTGGGAACCTCTGGGTGGGAGGCCTTCCTTAAATGCTCATCTGTCAGTCCCTATGTGTGACGGAACATTAAGCAGTTCATCAGAAGCATGTACTTCCAGTCCCCGTCTGGACATACGGACTTGGGGGACCTTATTACTGAGCTTTTTCTTTAGGGCCCCACATTCTATGTGGTTACATGCCTTTTCTCCCAGGAAGGACCTCGGTCTCCTGCCTGAGGGGAACAAGCCTGTCTGATAGTGTTCTGACGTAGGCAGGGGACGGGACTGTGGGTATCATGGCTCAGCATGCTCGGGGCTACAGGGAGGACCACTGGTCTGACCGCTCTTTATACAGAAATTTCAACCAATAATGTCTGTACATCTGTGTGGTAAAATATACATAAAATTTACCATTTTACCATTTTGAAGTGCACAATGCAGTGACATTAGGCATTAAACAACATGGTTGTATAACCATCACCACTGTCCATACTCAAAACTCTTTCATCATCCCCAGCACAAACTGTTCAACTACCACTCCCTTCCCACTCCCAGTCCTGTCTACCTGTGCGAAATACAGATAATATATAGACAAATACAATCTCTGTGCCTTTTCTGATACCTCATATAAGTAGAATCACACAGTATTCATCCTTTTGTGTTGTCTGTGCATTTTTATTTTTCAAATAACTCAGGTTAAGGAAGTGGCCCAAGGCCATCAGCTCTAAGGGGCAGGAACCTAGGTCTGTGCAGAGACTGTACTTTAGGTACTGTGCCTACTACTTTAGAAGAGGACTTTTCCCTCCACACACACAGGTATCCATCATAGCAGGTATTTCACAATTAAATCATATCCAGAATGTTTTCCCATGCCATTAGGAATTCTCTGAAACATTTTAATGCTTTCTAACAATCATTTTGGATGTCTGATACTTTGTTTTTTGACATTTAGTTGTTTGTTTTGAATTTTAAGTAACAATATATACCTTTGTATATAAATATCTTATTCTGATTAGAACCCTAGGATAAAATAGAATGTAATTTTTGGTTCAAATAGACATACTTAATTGATACTGTTAGACTACTCCTTAGAAATTAGCCAGTTTATAATACATCTTCATGCCACTGTTTTTTTTTAATTAGGTAAAAAATAATGTTCTACTGGTTGTAAGAGATTCTTTAGTGACTAAGAATAAAGACTTTCAAATTTAATTTGCTATCTTTATTTCCTATATATTTTTTATGTCTAGCTCATTTTTTCTGTTTTAAGGTAATCATATAAAACTTTTCTGTATTTCCGTGGCAATTTTTTTTGTTTTAAATTTGATGAATTAATGGGTGGAACAGAAAGTATAGTCCAGTATTCAATCTTCTGTCTGTTTTTCCTCATTGAAATCTAGAAGATTCTTTGGTGGTGAGTGGTTCTTTTATTGCTTTTGTAGTTTTCAAAGTAGATTTTTATTGCCTTTAGCAATTAATAAAACTAATAAATGGGTGTTCTTTTCGAAAGTACTCAAAAGAAATATACAAAAAAAGGCTTATAATCCCATTCCCAAACAGCCATCTGCAGAAGGCAGGGGAAGATTTAGTCATGAATACAAAGAAATATAATACATGAAAAAAATGAGGCAATTATTAACTCTAGGAAAAACCACAGCTTTTGCTCAGAGGTGAACCGTATTTACAGGGTCATAAACTAAAAAAAATTTAACCAAAAACTTTAACAAAGCTATACTGAAGAGGGCCAGGGGAGTATAGCAGATTGAAAAATCCTCCTTCAACCTTTTATGCATTAAGTGGCAGAAATATATGTAGTTTACTTAGCTATATGCATGTACATATGAAAAGAATTAGCTATAGAAGTTAGTTGTTTCTGGGGAATGGGACTTGTGCCAAAGGCAGATTATTGTTTAGTTATAAGCCTTTTAGAGCTATTTTATATCTTTGGGGTAATTATAATACATAGGTTAGGATAAAGCTAAAAGAAATAAGATAGCAAAATATCTACATTAAAAAAAAATCTCTTGAAAATTTTATTAACATTTAATACGCAGTAAATTATTCAACTTTTCAGCCTTTCTGAAATTTTAGTTTTAAAGATAAAATGTATTTCAAAAGTCCTAGTGTAAACAATCAGACATGAATAAACTTTTACAATGAACTTATCCAGCAAGTCTCTTTAACACCTTTTTTCTTGGGATGACAATAGTATTATGATGGTATTAAGTTCTTTTATAGTCAAATGAACTGTGGCAAATCTTGATTTTTTTCACTACTCTGCTAAAGCAAGACAAAACATGATGCTTTAACATTTTTTTCAATTCCCTACCAACTATTTTTTAGTGAAAAATGACGTGGTACTAAGTGTTCTTATGCTCAAGTTCTAAGAGCGACCTTTAATCCCAACTGAACTTGATATTCCAAGATTTAAAAAAATGTTTAATGATATTTACATAATAAATACAATTTTAATCACTCAGTTCTTCCTCATCACTGAAATATGTGCTTTTCTTTATCCTTGGGCGTCTTGAATCATCTGATGTTGAGGGACCCCCTGGACTGGGTTTCCATTTTTTTTGTTCTTCTTCAATTTTGGCTTGCTATAATGTGATTCAGAAAACAGAACAAAATCAAGAACCTGTTTATATTATTTATGTGCATTAATTCAAAACACGGCAAAAAAAATATATACCACAAGCGCGAACACTCCTCAGCCTCCAAGCCCACACGGCCGGCCGGACACCAGCAGACGCCTCCCCTGCCCGAGTCAGGCCCCACTGTCGCCACGTCACTAGAGTAACCTAGGCAATGCCAGCCTTTAACAGGTACATGAAATAAAGCCTACTTTCAAGCCGTGCTGGAGGCAGGAATATTATATGAAACACAAAATTACTTAACTAAAGGAAAAATAAATTGATGTGCACATTTATAACTTAACTACATTAAAACAAAGTAATTATTTATATAAAATCAGGAGATCATAGATCCTTCTTCAAAAATGTTTCATATACTTATATTAGAACCTCAAACGCTCAAAAATATGTTTTTGGTTTTGTTTTGAAATGAAGCTTCTTTTACAACATTATCTCCGGCTTAATTTAAATCTTTTTTTTTGGGCTAAACGCACTTTGTAAGCAAAGAGTTTTGCTGAATTCTACAATGAAAACAGATGAAGAGATTAAAAGTATTATGAGGTTCTTAAAATCTAGAAAGAAACAATGGATACTTTTCCATCACGTTGCTCTAAGGGCCTTAGAGAAGTAGCCTGTCTACAGTTCAGGAAGTGAAGGGGAAAGGTGGAGGCTACTCTAAGGAGGTGATCAACAATGTATGCAAGGAATATAATAAAACTACTAACAAAAGGCAGCTGTGATTGGTGCCTTTTAAAAGAACCATTTAGTACCTGGAAAGCTATGGCCTGACTGAGGCTGTCAAGAGCAGGATCTTCCCCTTCTTCTTCACTTTCTTCTACTTCTTCACTAATTTATTTAAAAAAACAAAACAAAACAGAATGCACTCAACCAATAATAAAAAGACAGAACCGACAGAAGAATGTATTTAATAAGAGTGAATGTACATACACTTCTTCTTCTCGTTCAGGAATTTTCTTCTTTTTCTTTTTCTCTTTCTTCTTTGGAGGCTCACGTTCTCCAAGCATATTTTTAGGACAGGCATAACTTAAGTGACCACTTTCCTTTTGTTTCCCATTAAAATGCAAATGAAAAATGCCATTATTTGTTGTGTTATTAGCAGAAACTTGCCTGGTACCCTAAGACTAAAAGGTTTTAGAATTTAAAAAAGAATATCGCTACACTAGGAATATAGATGAAATAATTAACAAAACCCATTACTTTAATATTTAGAAGGAAAAAATATTACAACTCCCAATTGGCTACTTGAACAGTGAGTATTTTAATAGTCTAACTAAGGTATCATATGTATTCTTCCTTCAAACATTGTAAATCTCAAGATTCAGGATATAAAACTACTCAAAATTTAAATGGACCATCTAAATAAAATGTACAAAGTTTGTTATTATTTGATAAAAAGGAGACAAAACCATTCCTGTTAAAGTCCAAGATGCTGCTTAATGTTCTTAGTTTCTACACATGGAAAATGTTGTCTTCCTCACTTCCTCACTAGTTATTTCATTTGCTCGTTTTATATCTAGGTCATAACTGCACTATCCAATCATGGGAGCCACTAGCCATGGTTCTCTTAGGGCCACTGAGAACTGTCTGCACTGATAAGCACTATAAGGGTAAAATACACATTGGATTTTGAAGTCAGTATGAAAACAAATATAAGGTATCCTAATTTTTTAAAAATACTAATTACATATTCAAATGATATATTGGATGTATATTGGGTTAAATAAAAGATATATTAGTTTTTACCTTTTTTTAAACTTTTTTGTTTTTTAATTACACTTATCAATGCTTATCACAAGAGTATTACACAACATAGAAATGGATAAAGGAAAAATAAAAGTTTTTACCTTTTTTTAAGTGACTACTAGAAAATTTAAAATTATAGTTGTGGATTATATTACATTCATATTTAACAGTGCTGGGCTAGCCATAACATTATGATGAGCCAAAACACAGAGTTGTGAGTCACCAGACAATGTACTATGATGTGTACACTAGCTCACTAAGATACCTTCCAGCAGTACTAACGTGAGAGGGAGGCTGTGGGACAAGACCATCCAGGACTCATGCTGCAGAGGAGAAAAATGACCATGCTTTTCAAGTCTGTCTCACAAAGCAGAAAACAGACCGTGTACTGTGCATACCTGAGGACAGGGCTGAGCCCAAGGGCTAATGAACTGCTGAGAGAACGGACTTAGCAAAGTATTTTCCTAACTGTTTTTGGAACAATGGTATGCCAAAAAATGTTAGAATATCTCATATTAAAAAGGGCTTTAATAGTAGAATAACTTTGGGAAAAACCAAGTTAAATAAATATAAACAGGTTCTGGGAAGTTTAAATTTAATGTAAAATGTACGAAGTATAATGTACCAACTCTGTGGGCCCATAAACCAAAAAGATAGTAACACACTGATCCAAAGTCTCTGACACAATTTGGCATTTACTGTGAATATGAGGACACATACTAATCTGTCTGACCATAGCTACTCCTCCCTTTTTTTTACTTAAGTTTTCCTTAATAAAACTCAGAACTCTGGAACACAGTTTCCGAAACATTAACTTAAGAGGTGTTAGAATCACAGTAATTGACAAATGCACCCAGAACCTTGCTTGCTCTCTTTTTTTACCCATCAGTCCATACATCCACTTATCTATATATCTTCTGGGGGAATGGCAGTGAGGGAAGGGACCCCCACCCATTTCCTTGTATCTTCCATGTGGTTTTGTAGCCAGGAAAACGTCTCTCAGCAGTCCTCTTCCCATAATTCCTCTGGGACCCTGTTTCATATCAGCATTTTGGAAACTTGACAATAACCCCCCGACTGAAATTCTCCTCGTACCATTATGGGCCTTGTACAGAACTAACTGCTCTGTGACTATCCATCTTGCCCAATCACAAGTATGAATGGGTGACAGCGGATTCGTGCAACTAGGTGAGGACATTTGGGGATGGTTGTTATAGACCATTAGCCCTAACAGGAAAAAAAACAACCCCAACTTTAAAACACAATATCCCATAGAGGACAGGTCATAAGATACTGTTTATACTAACTGTGATGCCAAACATTAGCAAATATACAGAAACAGGCAATATCCTATGAACACAAAAATGGGTCACCAAAATCTTTCGGAATGTTAAGTAATTTTACTCTGACACTTGTTAACCTAACAATTTTAAAGATTTAGAAACTAGAGAAAATGCCACTCTATATTCCCCAACTCGGGTTATCTTTACATACGGTATTTTAATCCGGTTTACTTAGAGGGTTCTAGAGCTCCAGCATATAGCAACTTTTATAACCCAGTTTCAGCCAGTTTCGGGAGCACAAATAAAACAAGGATGTGAGAGAGACCTTCGACTATGGAAACGCACAGTAAGTGTCAGGCACACGTACCCCGCATTCGTAACACTTGGATTTGTCGAAGTAGCTGCGGCGCCGGATGAACTCGGCGGCTCTTCCGTTGTCGATGGCGATGCTCGCGCGGATCACTCTGCCGAACAGCTGGGCCGAGGGGAGAGGCAAGCGCAAGGGACGCACTTAACCAAAACCTAAAACCACAGCTGTTGGATCCCATCCCATCAGGCCTTCAATTTCATTCTGTATTTTATATGTTTTTATCAACTGCGCACTCAGGAGTGACAGATTCTAGCTGACAGAAGAGATTCTTACTCCTTAGGATTCTACCAGTGTTTTGGGAGCCCACACGGGTTTTGATCTCTTGTCTTTCCTGTACGTTAAATACCCTTGAATCTCCTGGTATCTGTCAGATCTGACCATTCACCGCATCTCCACACTTTCGGTATGAATGAGCACAAAGGCTTTTGGGTTAAAAACCTTGTTGGGAATGAATGGCTTACCTGTTTGTTGTTTATTGCCTTGGTACAGTTTTGTGCAGAGTCTTTATCCAAAAATAAAATAAATGCAACCCCTTTACTCTTCCTGGTATCTTTATCTTTCATAATAGTAACCCTTAAAGCATAAATAAATAGCCAGTTAAAAATAATGAGCAATAAATAAAACATATTAATAAATATTTGGAAGACTCAAGTGTTCAAAAAAGGGTTAATAAAACATTTAGAGTTAAGTAAGAGACACTAACACATCTGATGAATCATGGGATTCACATTCAAAGTCATGGGATATGAGGGAGGACAGAAATGAGGCGCGATCCTGACGCGACACAGGTGAGCACGGCTAAGCGGAGTGTCTCAGAAACATCGGTGGTTTGCAGGATGAGGCGAAGAGACTAGAGGCAAGGGAACCCTGAGGAGTGAGCGTGATTCCTCCTCTCTAATTCCCTCATCCTGCAGAAAACACAACAAAACTGAGCTATTCTCTACTACACTAAAACTTATTTATTTTTTTCTAGGGTTTAGAATCTGATTATATTCTTAATATTCTTTCAAAGAATCTCCAGTTCTTTGGTTTTTCGCCATAGCGCCCACAGTACCTGGTGAGAGGGATGGTGTAAGAACACACCTGCTCTTTCTCCCGAGCTCTCACTCATCCCTAGTCCTTGTGGTTGTTGCTCATCGTATGTCATTACACACAACTTAAAAAACAATGTTCAACAGGGGCCTGTGCAGATATGGCGGATTCCAAGGCTGAGATAGGACAGGTACAAGATGAACCTGGAACATCTTGTTATGCCAGAAAGGAAGTATTTAAAAAAAGAAGAAATGATGGGAAATGGCACAAAAGTACAAAAGCCAGCGGAAGGTGCCCGCCACTGGTCAAATCCAGGGCAATTTAAATACTGACATAATTAATGAATTATAAACCACCTCTTTTAGTCTGGTACATTTGTAAAGAACATAGTTCTCCTTCATCAGCCTATATTGATAATAAGTAAATGGGGGAGAAGGGAGGGCTCCTGCTGAGAGCAAAATGTGTCGCGATGAATGGTGAATACAGAGAGTGCTAGAGCTGGAACACGGCCATTTGCAACAACCACGGCAAAGGCAGGATCAGGTAAGAATCACAACAAACGTGAATCAAACATGGAAATTTTACGTGGATCAAGAAATCTGCAATCATCTTCCACTGAGTGCTTATTAGTTGCAAAGGGAAAAAAAGTAATTATACAGTGAGGAAATGGGTCAACACCTTGACTGGTGATCAAAATTACTATCACTAGAGAGGGACTGACGGACACTGAGTCCAGATAGGGTACCTTGCAGAATGCAGTGTCACCTACATAGATACCAGCCAAAACCACAAAGCCCAGTGTAATCACGAGGCAACATCAGGAAAACACAAAGTGAGGGGAAAAGAGAAGGAGACTTATGTTCTTTACAAATGTACCAGACTAAAAGAGGCTAAAAAGATGACAGTTAAACTCAACACCTAACTCCAGACTGGATCCTGGACTAGAGAGAAAATTCTATGTTGGACAAATAGGTCAACTGACAAAATTAGAACATGGATGGCTGGTTCAGTGTTTTACCAGTATAAATTTATGAACTTGGTAACTACTGTGGGTCTGTAATACATAGCCCTACTTATAGGAAATACACATTGAAGTATTTAGGAATAAAGGGCAATGATGTTTGTAACTTATCCTCAAATGACTCACAAAAGCAAACTGTGTGTGTTATACACTTACATACATACATATACACATGAACATATAAAGAAACACATCTATACACAAACTTTACACATGTGGGAGAGAAAGTGATAGAATAAAGGGGGTAAAATGTTAACAACAGGTAAATCTGAGTAAAGGGTATTTTGATGTTCTTTGTAGTACTTTGGCGATTCTTTATAAATCTGCAATTATTTCCAAATAGAAAAAAAAAGACAACGTTCAAGACAAAGCTTACTAACTTTCTAAAACCTGAATTAAGAGAAAAACAAGAGAACAGAAATGAATAAATTTTATTTAGTATTATATTTCACATATTAAAATTTATTTTATTTGGATTTGGGTTTAGGTACTTAAGATAGCCACTGTAATAAAACTGGTAAAAAAAAATTCCATTATATTAAGAAACTATTTTATTAAAAAAAAGAAACATAAATTTTAATAATTTAGGGGAAAGTGGGCAACTTCAAATGGTTCACTTTCTCAGAAGAGAGCATCTGTGGGTTAATTAGGTTTAAAAGGAAAGAGAAGCCAAGCGCTTGAGGAGCTCTAGTTTAGACCAGTTCTCTTCAAAGCCACCAGTTATAAAGAACACGCAGGAAAGTTTTTAACAAACTTTCAAAGAAACATAAAGTAAGCTGTTTGCTTTAACTTCTTGGAATGTTCATGATGTTTGTGAAGGCTGGCGAAAGTCCTAACTCATTTTTTAGGAAGTATCGTTTCCTAGTGTGTCTCACCTGTCCCCTTTTCCATGCACACTGCTTTTCTTTGTGTCACAGTGGCATTACTTTCAATAGCGTATCTTACCGGTTCCCCTGATGTTACTTCTCTCATGTGCTAGCGGAGTGATCTTCTACTTAAAATTATGGGGTAACTAAAATCACATCATTCCTGTGCTCAAAAGTCTCTGGCTCTTCACACCGCCCACTGTCTGTTCCTGCGATCGATACTCTTTCTGGTTTGGCTCCGACCCCCTCACCACCACTGCTCCTCCTCACGCACCAACTCTGTGGTCCAGCCACAGCCGACCACGGGATGTGCACAGAGCATGGCCTCCAGTTCCCCAGTTTGGTGCCCCTGTTCAAATGGTTTTCATCTTTGGTCAACTTTCAATCTTTTCCCATTAAAATTCTACATTTTTTAGGGTTCAGAATATGTCAGTTCTCTAATCTCTTTAACTGGAAATAATTTCTTCTCATTTCTGCTATTCTGTACCAAAATCTTACACATAAACAATGACTCATTTCACCTATCTTAATGTGAACTCCTTTAAGGTTGTCTTTATAACCTCTATTAAGCCTAGCTCAATATGTTAAAACAAGAAGACATAAAAATGGGAAGTAATATTTCTTAAAGGAGTACATCTAACTGTTCATTCATGTGGTCATTCAGTCACTCCATTAGCCTCAAGTCCAGGCATTAGGTACTGATAATATGAAGGCAGGACAAGATTTTACCTTCAGGAACAAGCTTAAGGGTCTGGCAGCTCAGAGACCTGTAAGTCAACTGTAACAGACTACTTCCCTAGGGATACTTTTTACAGTAACAGAAAAAAACTGTTATACCAAGGATTTGAATGGACAAATCTAGGATGATTCCCATGTTCATTGCATTAGAAAAGAGGTAGATGGTACCACTTCCTGATATAAGGTATAAATTATACTCATTCAAGCACATAATGTGAAGCAGACACTATTTTGGAAAATCTGGGTGCTGTACATTTAACACCCACTGCCTGCTCACCCACCCTTCACACATAAAGTAAGTGCACCACTAAGTATCACCCATTTCACTGCCTGATGATCTCTCAAACTGACCTGTCTCTACCTCTCCAGCTGTACCAACTTTTCCAAATTTCTCTTCTGGGCAGTAGTTAGCTTTCTGACTGGTCTTGTGTCTGCTCTTATTCCCCTCCAATCCAACCTCCACACTGATGCTAGAATACATTTTTAAAATTTCACATCATGTCATTCCCTCATTTGAAACTCATGAATTCTGGGTGTCTTAGGATAAAAACCAAGTATCTTGTAACATGGCCAAGAAGCAAGATTAGGAACTTGCTTCCACCTGTGAAACCATCTCGTCCCCTCTCTCCCTTTGCTCTTCATCTCTAGTTACACTGGCCTTCTTTCTGTTTCTTGGTCTCACTTTATTTTCTCCTGCCACAGGACTTTTGCATAAGCTACTCCTTCTAACTGAAATGTTCTTCCCATTCTTTTTGTCTGCTTAACCGTTACTTGGCCTTCAGGGTTTCAAATGGGTTTACCTGATCAGAGGATTATCAGGTAAACCTACCCTGACTCTCTAGACTAGATCAAGCCTCCCGTTACAGGTGCTTAAAATTCTGTCTTTAACTTCACAGTAGTCTCAAGGTTTATAATTATGTATTTATACAGAAAGTCACTCAGAGGTGCTGACAGAGTAAAACCAAGAAAAGGTAATGGTTAAAGGAGTAGGCTCTGGAATCAAACTGCTGGTTTCAAATTTTGTTCCATCACTAACTAGCAGTGTAATTTTCAGGTCTACTATCTGCTTCAGTTTTGCCATTTGTAATAATGAGATAATAAGAGCATCCACTTTAAAAGGGAGCTGTGAGAATTTACTGAGATACTATATGTAAAGAGATTAGAACAATGTCTAGCATATTTATGTGCTCATTGTTACGTATCCTCCTCATTAATGTTTTGACTGGTAGCTACTGTTCGAAATTCTGAGGACCCAAAAATTTACCTAGAAGCATTTTTGATTTTTTTAAGAGAGAGAGGTTAAGTTTAAAAAAAGTTAACTTTGGGATGCAAATGAACTTAAACTGTTTAACATCAAAAGACAGAGGAAAAACAGCTAGTCAAGATAAATATGCTCTAAATTTTTGGGATTTTAAATATGATTTTAAGTTTATAGTAGAATCTAGAATATACTGGTTATAAGATAGTTAGAATGATAGCATCTTTTTACTTATTTGCCCCATAATATAGTTGCCATTTGAAATAGTGAATTAAATATGAAAACCTCAAGTGCCTTTGTCCTTTCTTAAATATTGGCCCCAAATATTGTTTCTACCATTTTTGTATGTAAGTGGACTTTCCAACAATGTCTAAACTTTCTATGAAAGCAGAGAATATGTTTTGTACTTGTTTATGAGTCTCATAAGCACTTTGTACATTATATACACTGAAATACTTGTTTTACATTTTGATAAATATTAGCCCACTTATAGTATACTTCATAAAACACCTTCTAGTAAGCAAAATATATATTTAATCAGAGCCTTTAATTTATGTCTATTTTGGATAACAGAATCAGTTTGTCCTTAGAAATATGGTAAGAAATCATATTGTTTAAATAAATTATGATTATAAGGGAATACTATGAAATCATCAAATATGAGCATGCATCTTTATAGCATATGGAGATATTTAAGATATAATCTCAAGTTAAAGACAACAAAATTACATGTGTAGAATTGAGTCTTTAAAAAAGCTGTCTATACATGTTTATGTACATAGAAAAATGACTGAAATACATAAGAATGTTAGTGGTATTTTTATTTTCTTTGTTTATTAAATATTTGTTTTGTAAAGAATACTAATGTACTTCTGCTAAAAAATAATGGAGAAGTAAATTCATATAAACTTTTAAATTAAGTTTCAAAATTTGATGTGAATACTTACTTTACAACTTTGCCATACTTGGAAAATATCTGAAAAGAAGGACCACATAGTAATTTATAATTAATTAAAAATTATTAAAAAAAATTAATTTTCCAGGTTGTATACACTTACCACATTCTTCTCACAGTTTATGAAAAATTTTAACTTTCAGTCTATAAGTCAGCCCCAAGCATATATACTTTTTGTGATAGAATAATCTCATTTTTGTTATCGGCGTCAAAGGAATGTCTCAGTTCCTAAATTTCTGACAAGCGTGCACACAGAGGGAAAAAATAAACCACTCTTTACGTGTGGTAGATGGAAGGCTCACACACCGTGCAGCAGCTTCCAGTGGTGTATCCATGGCAACCATCACCCCCGCCTTAGCTCCAGAGAAACCCTGTGCGGCCGGTATCGATGTGGAGGGATATCTCTGTTCCTAGCCTACCGCGTCAAGCTCACTGCTTCAGCAGACAGACCCTTACACTGCTTATAAAACAAAAAAGCTTCTGTAATGAAAAAGTCCATTCCCACCTGTCTCCTTCTGCCCACCCTTAGCCGTGTTAGTGGCACTTTACAGTTATTTGCAAGCCTTTCTTCCCTTTTACGTCTACATCTTCACCTTTGGCAATCTCATTTCTACTGTTTAGCTACTACTTGTACACTAATAGTTCCTATTCATTATGCAATGCTTCTTAGAGAAGTCTTTTACAGTACATTAGTGTGTGCCGTTCAATAGTAAATTTTTGAATTTCACGATTAAGTTGTATAATGCTGGAATGCAGTATAACTGAGTTGCAGTATTAGCCAACACTGAATTCTGGACCAATATAGACAGTTTTCTCTATCACACTTTCTAATGGCTTCTCATTTCACTCAGTCCTGTGTAGGCTCTAAGAGGCACCCCTGCAGGGCTCACCTCTGACCTGCCCTCCTCCTCTCTCCACCTCATGTCCTCTGAGCCTGAAATGCTTGTCCCCCGGACATCTGCACGGCGGCCTCTTCCTTCCTTCAGGTCTTGATTCAGAAGTTGCCTTCTTAATGAGGGCTTTTGCCCACCCATGTAAAATTACACCTCCATTCCCAGCCTAACATTTAATAACTTCCTTTCCTGCATTTTTCCTTAGCACCTAACATGTCAGCATTAACTCAGTCTCTAAAATACAGTATCAGTTGATTTTTTAATATTTCACATTGTTTCTCTATCTTGCAATGAGTGTCATGAATGATTTTCATCTTTTTGTTCACTGATGTGTTCCTAGTATCTGTAAGAATGCTCAGTGTTACAGTGTTCAATAAATATAGAAATGTCTCTATTTTGATACAAAGGAGGAAGCCCAAGTTCTTTTTCTCCTCTGTCCTGAGATTCAAGCTATCTTAATTAGTCAAGCGCTATGTATCATCTACGCAGCGTCTCTCTACTCAACATCTACCCAAAGTGAGAGAAGAGGGCACATGTGGAAGAAAGGATTCACGTCATTCCTTACAGTCCCTACCAACTGCCCATCTGCAGGAAACCCTGTTCTCTGTTTAAGGTAAAGACGTTAAAGAAGGTGTTGGAAAGGATCCCCCCCACCATCCTAACCTGGATTAAAATTTATTACACTGTTAAGTTGCTGCCACATATATAATAAGATACTCCCAGAAATTGAGGGTTAGGAAAGGAATGTTTCCACTGGCCCCTTCCTCCAAAGCCTCTACCATTTTCAAAAGCCAAGTAAATAAGCACAAAAAATCAGCCTATTACAAGTTGCTCCCACTTCATTAAGCTAGGTATGTCTGCTATTCTCTATAAATGCCCAGAAAATTTTCTTTGGAAATTACAAAATTGTATATATATTTTTTCATTTACTCATGCTTGCAATAGCGGTCTTTGGTATTGAGGGTTTAAGGGCATCGTAATGCACTTAAGAATTTTTACCTAGAACTGCTTAATCCACATCTGTATTAAAAAACAGAATTCAGTAGTAACTGTAATAATACAAAAACTTACCCGGTATAAGTCATTGTTGGTCAGGGAAAAAGGCAAGTTGGATACATACACTGTGCTTTTACTTGGGGCCAATCCACCACTCATTTCTAAAAAGGAAAAAAGAGAAAAAAACCAGCTACTGAAACCAGGTTCTTAGTTTCAATTTTAAAACTAAGATAGGCCATCACGGATTTGACTGTGCCAGATTTATACACCCTAAAATGATCCTTTTAGGGTCAGGAACCATGCCTCTCGCTGGGCGAGGTAAGGAATTCCTTTTCTCCAGACACCACTTAAAATTGAGTTTTCTGGTCCATCTTTCAAGTAGATTCTTTACATCACCCCGAAGTGCTGGACTATGGTGTGGAGGGAGAGGTGAGTTTTTAACAGACGAAAACCTCTCAGGCTACGAGCAGGAAAAACACACCTAGGGCCTTGCGTGACTGCATCAGGAGGAGCCTGGCCGCTCTCAAAGGCCTGAGCCCCTGCCTTTCACTCATGCTCTGCTTGGGGACCTTGCTGGTTGTCTTTAATATTTTTCTCTGAATGATAAGAGGAAATTTTGGCCTTACATTTTGACCATGTTGACTTCTTTCACATCACAAAGTTTGCACAATATTGCTAAGGGATGAAATACGCTATATGAGTACGTTTCACGGCCTTGAACGATACTGACTTGCGCATGAATTTCAAAGTTTATAAATATAATTTGTCATGGATTTTCATACCGTTATCTTACAGAGTCAGCAAATGACCCGTGAAAATTACACGGTCCTCAACGAAGTTCAAAGTTCCGATTTAAACAGCGCGCGGCCGCTCACTGACGGCACAACGGTTTGCAAGGCGCGTCAGCTCCGAAGTAAAGCGAAAAAGCGCTCGGTGCGCGGGGTGTTTCGGGGACTCCGAAGGAGCTCGGCACCGACAGGTCGCGTTCTCGGGGCTTCTCTTCTGAAACGATTTACCCGTTGGCCGCCGTGGGGGGAACTGCGAGGGCAGCGAAGGTCTCGTCCCGAGCGGCGGGGCAGAAGGGGCGCCGGGCGGCCGGAGGGGAGCGGCCCGCGGGCGCACGTCGGCGGCCGAGGCGGCGCTTACCTGCAGGTGGGGCGGCCCGAGGGCGCGGCGCGAGCCGTCGGCTCGGGGGAGGCTCAATCCGGACTACGCCGCGTACCCCGCGGCGGCTTGGGCATCCCGAGGCCCGGAGGCGCCGGGGACCAGGAGACGCCGGGGACCAGGAGGCACCGGCACCCGCACCACTTCCCCGTCAGCGACGAAGCCAGGCCCCGGGGCGGGCCGGCGGCGCGCGCTCTGTGACGTCATCGCGCGCGCCGGAAGTGCTCCGGCAGAGCGACGGCGGGCGGACGGCCGCGTTGCGGGTCCGGGCGACGCAGGTCGGGGAGCGCCTCTTACCTGCCGGAGAGGTAGAACGGGGCGGGCGCGCGGGCGGGGCGCCGCGGGGAGCGGGCGGGCGTCTCTCGGGCGAGCCCCGGCCTCCCCGCTGCCTGCCGTCCCCGCGGCTGGGGTTGCAGGGACGCGGCGGAGCTCGCGATACAGGCACCCGAGTCCGAGGTACAGGTTCACTTCTCGTTAGCAAATATTCGGAAAATATGCAAAAAAAAAAATGGACTGAACTAGGTCACTTCAATGACCAATACCAATTAGAAAGTCGGTAAATTTACCCAGTGTGCTCGACGTACCCCGTTCGTTATTAGGCGCTCTGAGAGCTACAAAAAAGTGTTAACCGGGCTTTTTTCTGCGGCTCTCTCAGTCTAGTTGAGGAGGCAAGGTCGACTTGGGGAGAGACCTGGATTCACAGAACGACTCGTCTTGAATGTCGGTGCGGACAAATGCTGAACTTTGGGGCCTCTTTCCCTTCCCTAAGTCTGTAGTGGGCCCACTGATCTTTCTCTAAGAGTCGGTAAACAAACAGGACCATCATTACCGGGGCAGCGTAGTTTATGCCTCTACCCACCTGCACACACAGACCAGGCCTCTGACCGCCCCTGGGAGCCTGCGTGCCACAGCCTGGAACCCACAGCCTCTCCGGAGCCTGCACAGTCAACCCAGACTGAAGCCGAGGTCCTCTAGCGAGACGGGAGTGCAAACCGCCCGGGGCGAAGCCGAATTTTGAGAGGCCCGAATGCCTCCGCATCCACCAGGGCACCGCTGGGACTCATTCTCTTGGCAAACTTGCGGCCAGCCAAAACCGCCATGCTTCACATCCCCGTTATCCTTGGTTACCGCCCAAGATGTAAGCCCCTTCGGACTGTACGCTCCACCCTCATCATGCCCCTAGGTCCAGCCTTTCACTGCTGCTCCCGCTTTTTCCCCCCCCATTTCACCCCTCAACAGGACAACTCTGCTTTCTGAAACCTCTATTCCCTTTTTAACAAACTATTACATATTCAGCCTCTTTAGGAAATTCTTTCATCTCTGGACCCTAACACCTGGCTTGTCCCTCCAGCCCTTTCGGTTGAGCCCGTTTTGTGACACCTGCATGATGGCCTTCGCCAGGCTAAACTGATTTCACTTTCTCAAAATACTTTTTCCTCCCTCAGCGCCTTTGGAAGGGCCCTTTTCTCTCTCTGTAGCATTTAATTTTTTAGACTTTTCCTCTACCTCTTTGTGATGAATTCTTACACCTGCTAAAGATCTCAGTTTAGAGTCACTTCCTGAGGGGTTTTTCCTTTATTCCCATAGACAGATTTAGGGTACCCTTGCCATGTGCTGTGGGTGATGGACTGTATTTACCTTGTTTATTTTTGTAATTCCAGTGCCTAATGGGCACCCACGTATTTCTTGAATCATTTCACTTGCTGCCAGGTAGAATTTCAGAAGTCGGGAGTTGACATAGCATCTGACTTTAAAATGTAAGAACTTTTTGAAAGGGGTCAACTGCTACACATCTACAGGTGATTCAACCTTGAGCCTAGAATATGGATGATTCAACAAGCATTCATTGCTCCCTAGAAGTAGGTATTCTCCCTCCTATTCCATAGAAAACATGGAAGCACTGAAAGCTCAGATCCCAGAGCTGAAGAATGTTGGAGTCTGACTCGGGCCGGCATTTGCATGACTTTAGGCCCATCCCTTGACTTCATATCCCGTTGCTTCACAAAGGAAACAGGTGAGGACAGAGCAATCCCACCTGATTCTAGGCCTGAAAGCTGCCGGTGGCTCCTCTTGCTTGTGGCTTTTCCCCATCATGATTGCCGCATTGCCAGAGCACCCCCTTTTTTCAAGAGATGTTGGAAATACAGGTTCTTTTCAAAGTGTTATCTCCCAGGTTTTAAGGGTTGTCAATGAATTAGATTTTATTAAAGAAAAAAACCCTGGCCAAACATTTGTCACGTGTGGCCTGAGTTCAGAATCTTCTACGTGTTGTAGGTTTTAGACACGGGCTTCGCGGGGAATACCGGATTTTGAGCCGGCCTTAGGGATGGTTGGAGGTTGAATGACAGAACGGCGTAAGAGGTATTCCAGATTTGAAAGAAGTCAGACAACTCTAGGGTGCTGTGCTACCTTGTGGCCCGGTGAGAGCGCTAGCATGAACGACGCTTCTGCAGAGAACAGGAGGTTGGGGACATGACAGAAGAGGGCATAGGAAGGGCATAAAAGTTTGGGTTTGTTACAGGTAATAAACTATTTAAATTCTTCATCAGAGAAACAAGATATGAATGATGTATTAGCAAAGTTAATTGGGTATCCTTTGTTAAGGGTGAATTGGAAGGTAAAAGACTAGAAGGAGGCTGACAGTTAAGACCCCCATCCAGATGTGAAATGAGATTTAATTTATGTTGTACATAGGTAAACATCTGGTATTTCTATTAACTTTTGTCATTTCAGTTACTTGGTCACTTAAAATGAACAACCAAGAATCTCCTATTAAGTATTCTATACAGTACAGTAGGGCTTAAAAAGAGGTATCCTTAAAGCATTGAAAGGTCATGTAACTTGGAAAACCAGTCGAGAATGCAGTATTCAGTACTGAGTCATGGTCGTTACGAAGCACCAAGCCCCCCTGTAGTTTTTCTGCTTTGCTGTATCATTTAATGCCCTGGAATTTCTTCTCTGTCTTTACCTGTTTCCTTTGTGAAGCAGTGGGATATGATGGAAAAGGATGGGCCTTAAAATGCAGGCCTGAGTAAGACTCGAGGCCCCTTTTGGCTCTGGGATTTGAGCTTTTTGGAACTTGTATGTTTTATCCGGAATGGGAGGGATAGTATCTACTTCTGGGAGCAAAAGAAAGCTTGCGAATCGCCTGTGCAGGCTTCCTTCCCACTCCTTTGCAGTGTGAGTCTTCTGCTCTGGTCAGTTCTATCTCCTCAAGTCCATTTTATCCTCCCCAATTCCTTTTCCTTTTCTTGGATTCACTGTTGTCTTTCAACATTCTGTTGAAATTTCTTGGCTTTCTTAGCTACCATTGCCTGTATTTATCTCTTCCTGAACAGTGAACAATGATTAATTCTAATAGATGCTTTGCTCAGTGTTGACCATTTTAATTGGCATCAGTGTGAGTTGTTTACCACAGACTTTAATTATGTTCTAAAATTCATTTTTAATCTTAGTTGTTTGAAATTTTAAATATTTTGCAATAGAAATAATACTATACACATTTTAGGATCAAGTCAGAGAAATAATACTATACACATTTTAGGATCAAGTCAACCCTTAAAAGCTTCTTGTTTCAGTATAGGGTGTCTGGACTGGCTCTTATGCTTAGATGAGATGTCTGTGATTTTAAGAAAAGTATTAGGGTCCCTTACCCCCTTATCTCCCCCACCCTCTGCCACCCCCCAGCCAATTATATAGGGATCTTAGAGGATAGGGCCTAGGCATTGGCATTTTTTAAAGCTCCTCAGATGATTCTAGTATGCAGCCAGGTTTGAGATCACTGCTTTCGGTGCTAGAGCTCAAGGATTCGCACTGGTGGTACCTTTTGCTCAACAAAGTGACATTAGTGTCACATGAAGTGACAGGAGCCATAATCTAGTAATGCTCACTGGAAAGTGTCTGAATACAGGTTCCCCCACTATCTGAAAGTAGAGCGTTCCTATGGAACCTTTTGTAATCTGGAATGGCTGAATGTGAAGAAGCCATTATCATTTCCTAAGAGTGACAATCCTCTTCGGATTTCTTTTGGTACAGAAAACAGGTACTGATGTAGGTCTTTGGTGAAAGCAAAGTGGCATAAAGCGAACTTCTGAATAGCAGGGAAAACCTGCGGTGGGAAGGTGCAGGCTAGCACGAGGCTCTCTGGGATGGCTCGGGTCGGTGGTCGTAAGAATGATGCCTGTACTCTGCCAAGCTGCAGGAGTAAGAGAGGGGCAGGCACGGCCTTTGCAGTGGTGCTTGGTTTGGGAAGGAGGAGAGGGAGGGAAGGAAGGCGAGTAAGATGTTGTATAGTACTCTTAGAGCAGGTGCTTTGAAAGGTCCAAAGACGGAACAGCTTTGTTCTTGAGAACGTAACGAGAAGCTGACATTGGAGATGAGCGCCGGAGGGAGAGTAGCACGTGAAGGCGGGTAAGCAGGAGACTGCAAGCAGAGGGGGAGCCTATTAGGATCAAGTCAGAGAAATAATACTATACACATTTTAGGATCAAGTCAACCCTTAAAAGCTTCTTGTTTCAGTATAGGGTGTCTGGACTGGCTCTTATGCTTAGATGAGATGTCTGTGATTTTAAGAAAAGTATTAGGGTCCCTTACCCCCTTCTCTCCCCCACCCTCTGCCACCCCCCAGCCAATTATATAGGGATCTTAGAGGATAGGGCCTAGGCATTGGCATTTTTTAAAGCTCCTCAGATGATTCTAGTATGCAGCCAGGTTTGAGATCACTGCTTTCGGTGCTAGAGCTCAAGGATTCGCACTGGTGGTACCTTTTGCTCAACAAAGTGACATTAGTGTCACATGAAGTGACAGGAACCATAATCTAGTAATGCTCACTGGAAAGTGTCTGAATACAGGTTCCCCCACTATCTGAAAGTAGAGCGTTCCTATGGAACCTTTTGTAATCTGGAATGGCTGAATGTGAAGAAGCCATTATCATTTCCTAAGAGTGACAATCCTCTTCGGATTTCTTTTGGTACAGAAAACAGGTACTGATGTAGGTCTTTGGTGAAAGCAAAGTGGCATAAAGCGAACTTCTGAATAGCAGGGAAAACCTGCGGTGGGAAGGTGCAGGCTAGCACAAGGCTCTCTGGGATGGCTCGGGTCGGTGGTCGTAAGAATGATGCCTGTACTCTGCCAAGCTGCAGGAGTAAGAGAGGGGCAGGCACGGCCTTTGCAGTGGTGCTTGGTTTGGGAAGGAGGAGAGGGAGGGAAGGAAGGCGAGTAAGATGTTGTATAGTACTCTTAGAGCAGGTGCTTTGAAAGGTCCAAAGACGGAACAGCTTTGTTCTTGAGAACGTAACGAGAAGCTGACATTGGAGATGAGCGCCGGAGGGAGAGTAGCACGTGAAGGCGGGTAAGCAGGAGACTGCAAGCAGAGGGGGAGCCTTCCGGGGCGGGTGGTGAGAAACAGCAGCCACTTGGAGGACGAGCAGTTTGTGCGCCCCGCGGTTCTGGGGACGGCGGGGAGATGGTCGGAGGTGAAGCTGGGAAGGCAGGAGCAGTGCCACAAAGAAGCCTTTTTCAGGTGAGGGTTGAAACTATTCTTTTGATATGGAGAACCATTGAGGGATTTTTAAATTAGGTGTCTTATCAGAGTGAACACTGTGGCTACAGTTTACAGGGTGGGAGAGAAGCAGGGAGACCCCTGTTTTACGGGGAGTCCAGTGGCTGGATGAAGGGCATCTGAACACAGGTAATAGTTTGGTAGTGAGCTTTCTCTTTATTGGAGCTGATAGACATAACTGGACTTTGTGAAGAGATAGGACAAGTTTTGGGTCTTGTATGATGCAGGTTTCTGATTTGGGCCTTTGGGACCTGGTGTTACCATTGACCAAAATGGGGAAGACAGGAGACGAGGCAGATTTCTGAGAAGGTGAAGAACTGGTGGCGTGTTGACTTGCAGGTAATCCATCAGATATCCTCTTTTTTTTTTTTGTAACTAAGGTATCATTGATACACACTCTTATGAAGGTTTCACAAGAAAAACAATGTAGTTACTACATCACCCTTAATAATTATCGAGTCCCCCTCATGTCCTACTGCAGTCACTGATCAGACATCCTCTTGAAAGGAGTCAGGATGGAAGTGAAGATGTGGGCATCATCTATCTACAGGGAGGGTATTACCAGCATTCATAAATCC